TTTACTGAGTGCCCACTGTGTGGAAGGTATTATGCTAAAGCCTATGGCATGCTACAAAGAAGTAAAAATCCAAAAGCTGTTTTCAAGAGGAACTTACATGCTATCTGGAAAGATAAGACACAACTGAACTGTAAGGACAAACCAAAAGAAAAATAAAGAGGTAAATGAATTCTTGCAAACACACAGAGAGACAGACACATAATATTGCTACTAGGAATAAAAAAAAAAATCCTCTCCTTTCAGTTAAGACTTTTTTTCTCTTTTTACTATTGCCAAAGCAGGAAGTATTTATAGTATACACACTTAGGGACAGTAAATAAGTAAGAGAAGTTCTAGTTACAGTTGCTTCATAACATTTTTCAATGGAAAACATTCAAGTGCCTCAATCTCAGTAAGAAAGTCATCCTGTAAATGGGTAATCCTATTCGAAAAATAAATTCCAGCAAATTATCAAATTGACCCCAAAAAGAATAGTCCTAAAATTTCCCAACCCACTTACACTGGTAATTTTGATCAGCTCAATCATCAATTAGGGTAACTTTACACTATTATACCAATCTGCTGTTTTTCCTACAGAAGTAGCCAATGAGTATCAGTTGCAGGTTGCCAATTTGTAACAATTATACAAATTCCTCTCTGCAAGACATCTGGATAAAACACTCTCAAATTGCTGTTGAGCAGTTTTACAAGCAGTAACGGTTGTCTGGCCTCTCATTCAAACACAGTAATGGCTACTTATCAGCATAAAATGACATTCACCCGTCTAACTACAGACAGATCAAGGTTGCATCCCTATTCAAGAACCTAACAACCTAGAGGCAGGTTTCATTTCTGAGTCTCCAGCAGGCTGTCTTGCTATAATACCTACCTCATAGCACTACTGTTAAGATATCAGTGAGAACAGTCCGTGGAAAGTTCCTAACACAAATGGGCAAACTTGGGCTCAGGAAGGTTAAGTAAGTTGCCAAGAGCAGACAGCTGGTAAGGGGCAGAGCTGCATTTTCACACTTAGGTGTCCTTTACTGTCAAAGGTTCAGTTACCAAAGCACTAACAACCACAGTTAACATTTCTTCAACACATACTGTTGACAGACACCGTAGAAAGCACTTCCCATGGATCCGCTCATTTAATGCTCACAAGAATTCAATTATTCAAATAATCAGTTCACAGTAAAGAAAACAAAACAGTTCTCAGATACATGATAATATACCCAGTCTTATTTGTAATTAAAATTAAAACTAAAATAACATCATTTTTCATCTTTTAGACTGCTAGCATCATTGGTGAGGCGGGGAAAAACAGCTCCTTCTTTCTCGGCAAGTGTCAACGAGTACGTCCATGAAGGGCAATTTGGCGTTACCATCTATCAACATTACAAATGCTCATACCTTGGACCAAGTAATTCTATTTTTTGGTATATAACGTACAAACACTTTTGACCATGTACAAAATGACATATGAACATTATTATTCATGGCAGCATATTTATAATGTCCACCAATGGGGAACTGTTAAATAAACAATAGTTCATTTGTATAATGAAGTACTAGACAATCATAAAAAATGAGGGTGCTCTTCATGAAGTGACATAAAATGACCTCCAAAATATATTAGGTTAAAAGCAACAAGATACAGGATGCCTAGGGTAGAGTGTCTCTGGAAAAACACACAAGAAGCTAATATAACATGCAAGTTTTGGGAAAAAGGCACTGAGTGGACAGACCATGGAGCTGGAAAGGAGACTCTGAATCACAATCCTTGAGGCTTGATCCCTAAAGGTTCCTGTGTCCAGCCACTGGTGTTGGGGGATCCTCACTGCCTGAAGTTGGACGACAGGGGTAACCAAGTTTGGAAAGCTGCTATATCCACTTTTGAGTGAACTATTCGGAGTGGTGATTTCTGCACCTAGAGATTAGGGGCTTCGATGAACTTACTGAAGAGGTTGAATGATTTAATTGGACCTGCATGATAGCTTGAGGCAAAATCAGGGTGAGGAGGAATAACCTTCACCTATCTCAAACTCCTTTAGTGCCTCCTCTAAGCTACGAAAAAGAAGCCAGGAGTTACTCATCTCCAAAATTTAGGCAACATCCATTAGGACAGCTCCAATCAACTACTCACCTTCCGATTTTTGCAAACAAGAGTTGGACACCAGTGATTTCTTCTCCCAACTCCAGAGACACAGGCCAGGCTTTTTCAGGGGCTTTTCCCATGAGCTCTACTCCAGTCCCTGCAAACGTCCAGTTGGGGTGAGAGGTCCATCCTGTCCTCCTGACAAATACCCCACTGTGTGCTCTCTTGAAGCACCCTCATTTGCTTGGGGCCGGGGGGACTCACACTTTAATGGACATGAAAACCCCAATTCTGCTTAGATAAGCAAGGTACACACATGTTCTTTCACACCCTTGTGCCTTTGCTCATGCCGTTACAACTGCCTATCTCCTTGACTATATCTAATTGCTACTTCTTCAAGAATTAAGTCAAGACTCACTTTTATTAATGTAACAAACGCTAATTGGGTACCACTCAAGCACTGCTGCTTCTATAATCCCAGCTGTACCCCGTACGTACACATCGCTACATAGCACTTACTATGCTGCACTGTGCAGTGTCTACTTCACTGTTTGTTTCCCCACCAGAACCTGAATCCTTCTGCATAGCGCCCAACACACAGTAGGCACTTTAAAAATGACTGCTGAGTAAAATCTGTGGATAAAAGACATCTGCTGAGCTTAGCTTACTCCTACTTCTTTTGAAACAACTTGCCTTTCTCTGTTTTCTTCCTATACAGAAGTCCTTCTATTTAATAATTCACACCCAAGAGAATGAGGCTGCTCTCTACAGAATTTTCAGGCCAATGGACCATCTGAAATCATCCTAGCTATGAAAGCAGCGATGATTTTGCTTCCCACTACCATCTTATTGCAATAACACCACTGTATCACAATGCTTGGCCACATCTAATTTGGCCAAGATCATGAGAAAAATGAATACTGAAAGGGTGATCTGTTGACCTTGCTTAGACTCAGTCTAAAATGCACAGTAACTAAAATAATTTAAGAGAACATAAGGGATAAGTGTGCCATCTCCACAAACATCAAATGTGGTAAATAATGTGTGACAGCATTCACAAAACCTAAAGAACACACATAATCTATCTTACGATGCATGGATTCAAACTTCAATCTCATTCTAATGGGCTACTACTAGAGAGATAAAACTATTTCAAAGAAAAAAATTGCACACAGAATAAACATATAAGTTTACCAGCGATTCTCACAGAGGCTTCAATGTATTTTCTTATTGAAACAATCAAACAAGCTCTTGGCAAAAAGATTTTATGTTGGCGCCAGAATAATGTAAGAATTGAAACTATAATGCCAAAAATTTTGCTTAAAGTAGATATATCACTTCTTATTTTTCTCATTTTGAAAAGAAGCTATGTTTCATTCAGCAGTAATTCTTCTCTCATCCTATCACAGAATCTGTACAAAAGCAATACTTCAACTAAAATCAATTCTGAAGGATCTTTTATGAATACGTATAATGCAGAAGACCCCAATTAAATTTCCAACAAAGCACTGCCATTTTGAATAAACAAAGTCATCTCAGTAAGGTTACGATATTTGCAAGAATTGCAGCCTAGAAATTAATTACTAGTATGACATATGTCAAAACAAATTTTTAAAAAAATAGAATGCAGTTGTAATCAGGTGTTTTATCTGTCTGCATGCAACACCAGTATTCTCTAGCATGTAAATATATTCATTTATTCAGCATCTCTCAGAAAAATAAAAAAGGTCTATTGCCTCTCTTTTTCCTGTACCCACGTAAAATCGGAGTAAGTAACACATGTTTAGTGAGTCAGAAGTACAGAGTGAAGATATAGTACAGGTAATATTTCTGAAAGTCAGAAGTCATCTTCGTACAAATAACTAATTTTGAAACATTCAGTTTGCCTTCAAAAGAAGTTCTTCAAAGATCTACACCACAGATTGGTATCTTGTGGAAACCAAAGCTTTAAATCACGTGTAACAGTGTTGGTGTGTCATAAAGAAGATTGTAATCCACAGTTAAAAACAAAAAACTACCTGGGAATAAAATGAGGGATTTCAAAGAATTTCAATATTCTGCCAGTTCTGACAACATTGATTTAAATACGAAGTTCCAGTATCCTAGGACCTCGAAATAGAAAATACGATGCAGAGCAGATACATGCAGGTCCTCACTTGTGTTTTCTGTGATAAAAATGATGTCCCAAATAAAAGACTTCTTTTGTATCTCACCTATCTAAAAACCAACTTTTGAACTTCAGTCTCTCCTACTTGAGGCAAAGATTAAAACATGCTTCCTGCAGTAATTTACTAAAATCATTTATTGACGGTAAAGTTTTGCTTTTTCAACCAAAAAAAATTAAAGAGAAATTTCCCACATGTTGAATCATAGGAATTCGAGTTAGAAGACACAGAGAGGTGAAGTAGCTGGCCCTGGGGCACAATGCACTGCAAGCCACCTGCAGAGCCAGGACTCCAGTCCAGACTGAACTCCCCAGCTCATTATATTTTGTTATCAGGAAGCCAAGAGCCACCTGCCAGATACAGACTTTTGGGACATTTGTCTCTTACAGTGCCTCTTTCATTATCAATTTTTCATTAGTTCTCCATATTATGGTAATTAACTTCATATCTTACCCTTAGCAGTTATTTCTTGATTTTTCTGCTGTAAGAAAAGTTTAGCCACCCTAGAATAACAATGAAGCAACACAATGGGCCACTCTGACCACTGGGACTGTTCTTCCAGCAAACTCATTTTACCAGCTCTCTTAGATGTAAGAACTGAGATAAGACTAAACAAATGGTGCTTAAAAGAGTGATCATAATTTTCATTTGATTTTTTGAACCAAGATTCCCCAAATATATTTCTGATTGTCAAGCAAAAATTTACTGAACAAAAGCACACCATTCTTTTGTACATCGATATTGGAAATTAAGTGACTTACCTCTCTTAAAACTGTGCTTTTGTAGCCTCGATACAACCCTTGGATGCCCTGAAACAAACAAAAGCCAAGAGCTCTGAAAGCTAGAATAGCAGATTTCAGAATGACATCTAAAGTTTAAGTTCTAAAACAGTCCCAATTACCACAGTTCTGTGAGAGGTTAAAGGTTCTAACCTGGCCTACAGTACATAAAAAGCTCAGGTTAGCTCCCTTCAAAATGGGAACATCTCAATAATAAAACTGACTACACATTTGGTTTTAGTTGCTAAGTACTAAATAATGTTATTTAGTATTTAACTGCTATATTTTTTCTTTTGAAAAGAACATTTGAGATGCTTTAAATAAATTTCCAATAGCAAATGCACATAAATGCCAATTATCCTTTCATAAAAACAGAATTATATTTCATAGGTTCAAACACTAGGAATTCATTAATGATCTCTCAATTAAGTAGTAGTAAATATTCCCAAACTTTGATTTTTTTTTATTTCACCATCCACATGGTTACATGAGGACCCTACATTAGATTGATCTCATCTATACAATTAGGAATTTGATGTCTGCTCACCTAGGTGACAGACCATTAAGAATAACTTGTCTAAAACCAAGACTCATTGAAATTTCCATGTAATTGATTCTCATTTAAAAAAAAACAATAATCTTCTGTAAAAATTATAAAGGAAAACAGCTAAATGCTCCTTGGTCACATGGCCAGGAAGAATAATTTCTGACCCACGGCTTAACAATCAGTGATAATTACATTATGATATAAGCACTACGAGTTTGGTCACTGTTACAGTATATTACTATATTTCTCTTCCAAGGGCCCTCAAATTCTGTAGTGATGTTTTAAGGTAATATCTTAATTCACTTTACAGATTTACAATTTGTTCCATGTCTGATTCCGGAACAACTGTTGGAAGATTACAATTCAGGACACATACACAGTAGTGGCACTCAATATGCTTGTTTAGAAATTTGAAAAAGAAATAAAAATGAAAATAAATATTCAAAAACAATAAAGGCCAAGATAATCTCAGCACAAGAGTTACTATAATTGGACATTAAATTTAGCTCTAAGGTTTTCTCGAAGGCTCCTGGGATGAGGCCCACAGTGTTCATATTAGCTACTATAAAATCTTTCTCAATAAACAAAAAAGAAAGCTTAAAAACACATCTCACCTCTTCACATAAGATGTTAGAGAAAATCTGAAATGTTCTTGAAGAAGCAGATACCTGTGCCCTCTGCTTAACCACTTCAGATGGAACTCGAATCAGGCAGGCAACCTAAAACATACAAAATTGGTCAAATATCCTAAAAAGGAAATAACTTATAAAAATTAAAATTTTTTCATAAGCAAAAATTATAGTAAGGACACATAACATGTAGATTTAGTGTAAGATGTCAAAATGTTTTGGTTTTTTTGTTATTTTTTTGAGACGAAGTCTCACTCTGTCACTGGGGCTACAGTGCAGTGGCGTCATAGTTCACTGCAACCTCAAATTCCTGGACTCAAGCGATCCTCTTGCCTCAGCCTTACGAGCAGCTGAAACTTCAGGTGCACACCATCACGCTCAGCTAATTTTAAATTTTTTTGTAGAGATGGGGTCTTGCTATGTTGCCCAGGCTAGTCTTGAACTCTTGGCCTCAAGCAATCCTCCTGCTTCAGCCTCACAAAGTGCTGGGATTATAGCATGAGCCAGCATACCCAGCCATGTTTTGTTTTTTTTAAATCTAAAACACTTGGACCTTTAAAGGACATACATTGTTTTGTCAGCCCAGGCCTTTCCTCCCTTGTCCTGTATAGACGCTCTCACCTCCTGCCACATCGTTCCAAGCACATCTGTCTATGAGTCTCTCGATGGCAGGAAGCACATTTACTCATTTTGAATCCCCAACACCTAGAACAGCATCTGGCACATGACAACATTTCAAATGTGTGAGGAAGATGAGAGGCAAGGCTGATCATGAGCTGGTGCTCCAATCCTTTACCCCACTCCTTCCACCCCACCCCATCCCCTGCCTTAACCAACTCCCAACCGAGCATCCTAGACCTCTCCACCATGCAACACGGAGGGGTGACTCCTGGCACTCTCGGGCTCTGCTCCAGCATTCCAGCTGCCATGGGTCCCAACTGGCCCGTACTCAACACCATCCCAGTCAACAAACAATTTTAACATCACCCTTGGTTATATGCCAGAGTGAGGCATATGTTACCTCAAATTCACACTGCCAGGATTTTATCTTTACACTATAAAGGTAGCCTACTTATTTTCAGAAACGGGAGCAATAAAGAACTGGTCAAACCTGGAGGAACTCTGCCCACAGAAGGAAAGGCTGGAGAAAGCGCAGCAAGGTACAGGGAGGGAGACATATAAACTGCTGTTTAACTATTTCAATGGAAGTCCTGTATTTAAGCCTCGACACACTAAGCAGTCTACCAAAGACAAACTCTTCCTGCAACTTAGATTTCACGTAATTTTGATGGTCAACGTTTTACTATGATTGAGGATATTAATTTTAAATCTTCCCTTCAATAACACATGTAGCAAAATGGAAAGAACAAGAAACTTAACAAAACTATCAAATCAAACAGAGTACACAAACTCAAAGAGGTTTTGTCCTTTTCAATCTGTATTCTCCTAATTCCCAATAAAAGGATATTTGGATATTACACGAGGCTTTGTTTTTCTAAAATTAAGTGGCTCTAAGACAAGGGTAAGCACATTTTTGATATAAAAGACTAAATAATAAATATTTTAAACTTTGCAAGCCACATGGTCTCTGTTACTATTGTTCAACTATGCTGGGTTTTGGGTTTTTTTTGTTTTTTTTTTTTACTTGTCCTTAATGGCAGTATTTTTTTTTTTTTTTTTTTTTTTTTTTTTTGAGACAAGGTCTCACTCTGTTGCCCACCTTGGGGTACAGTGGTATCATCATAGTTGACTGCAACCTCCAACTCCTGGGCTCAAGTGATCCTCCTGCCTCAGCCTTCTGAGTAGCTGGGACTATAGGCATTCATCACCACACCCAGCTAATTTTATTTTTTGTAAAGCAGGGTCTTGCTATTGCTCAGGCTGGTCTTGAACTCCTGGCTTCAAGCAACCCTCCCTCCTGCACCTCCCAAAGTGCTAGGATTACAGATGTGAGCCACCTCACCTGGCCACCTATGCTATTTTAGCACAAAAGCAGCCATAGATTATAATATGTAAATAAATGGTTTGGCTGTGTTCCAATTTAAAAACTTTATTTACAAAAACAGGCAACAGCTTGCCAACCCCTGCTCTAGGTATGAACACTGGCAACTTCTCTGGTATTAGCCTTGGCAAGAGCAGATTGGGCACAGAATACATGTAAGCCTCAGCACCCCAAGAGACAGGGACAAAAAAAAGGACATGTGGATGTGATCTTAGATGTCATGAAGTTGGCTGACGTGGGCATATCACCTCTTTAAAGGTGAAGAAGTTACAATGCTTTACGTTGATGCACTACGACAACAGACATGGTTATGATAACAAAGGATTCATTACCTGAAGTTATTTTTCTACCAAAACTGACAAGATTTACAAAACAATAATCTGATTTCCATTACTTCATTCATCAAATATCTGAATGGTTATTATTCATAAAGATGTCTGCAATTTGGGCCAACATACCCTTCCAGCCAGTCTCCCTTCAAACTTACCTTACCGATAATTTCAATAATATATGGCTTTAAAAATAAAAGGGGCATAAACAAAGATCATGAGAAACAGGAAAGAGGGGTATTTAGTCCAACCTTCAGACTCAAGAAAAACTGCCAGAGACTGAGCCTTCACAGAACCTTCCACATAAGCCAAAATGAGCTGGCGAGGAAGGTGGAAAGGGCACCATGGAGAGGACACGAGAAAAGGAAGGTGCACAAACATGAACGCAGAGTGTTCAGGGGAAACGGTGCTGGCCGTGTCCATAGCGCATCTCACAGCTTGCAGCCACCCAGGCCACTCTCTGTCACCAAAGCCCACGTGCAAGGTGGGGAGTTCCGGGAAGACAGACTAGACAGGCAGACAAGGCCTGTGTTCCCTGCTAAGGAGCTGGAACGTCACTCCACAGACAACGGAACAAGTGAAAGAGTTTAAGCAGAGGAATGCTAACCCGTGCTTAGGGCCACTGCTCCGGCTGCAGTGCACAGAATACCCAGGGGACGGGGAGAAGAGAAAGGTAAGAAGCAAAGGAGGAAAGATAAGCCAGAAGGCAGGAGGCGAGTTATGAGATTCTATAACACATCTACGAAAGACACGAGGAAACAAACATGGCTCAGAAGAGAAGGGTCAAATCTCAGGGAAAAGTGAAGAATGAAAGGCACCGGAGCTGGTGACTGACAGGGGGTCAGGACTTAGGAAGTGCGGAGAGAGTGAGATGCTCCTAAGCTTCTGGTTTGGATGGTGGCGGTCCCATCACATGAGAGTAGGGGCCAACGGAGGAGGAGCAGGTTTAGAGGGAAGGTAAGAAGTTCAGACTGGGGAATGCTGGGTAGAAGTCTGTGGAAAGGTAAGGGGCTATGTCCAGCCAAGAAATGCACACACGGTATATGGCTGTAAAACTAGAAAATAACAGGCTGGAAATACAGCTATGGAAGCAAACAGGGGATGGCTAACCCCAAAAAGATAGACCAGAGCATCCAAAGGAAGAGCCAAAAGGGAAGATCAAAGGGCCAAGAATGAAATCTTGAGGACATCGATTTTTGAGGGGCAGGAAACAGAGAACCGGCTGAAGATCCACGAGGAGGAGGAGGGACGTGTTGCTATAGTGAACACCTGCCTTCCTCCGCTGCCCGGTTTCAACTCTCCTGAGTGAGAGGCGTCCCACTCGGGGAAAACAAAGGGAGTCAGTCTCTCCCCATCCTGCCCCCGCATGAGAACCACGATCCTGTGACTTAGGTTTGGCTGCTCAAACACTCCTGCCCAGGGGTCTGATTCTAGAGCTAATCAGGCCAACACAAAACTAGCCATCTGAGGCTACAGAGCTCCTGAAAAGCGGCCAGTACAACTGAGATGTGCTGTAAATGTAAAAAACAGAGATTTTGAAAACTGGTATGAAAAAATAATGTCACATATCCTGCTAGTAATTTTTAAGAGACGGGGTCTCTACGTTGCCCAGGCCGGCCTTGAACTCCTGAGCAAGCAATCCCCCCACCTCAGCCTCCTGAGCGGCTGTGCCCAGCTAATAATTCTTTTATATTGATTACACATTGAAATGTTAATATTATGGATAAGTTTGGCTTAATAAAATGTTATTAAAATTCATCCCAGCAGTTGTTTTCACCTTTTTTAATGTGGCTAGTGGGAAACGTAAAATGACACCCGTGTTGTGCACTATGTTTCCACCGGACATTGCTGTTCCAGAGCTACCAGGAGAGTTTAACATCCCTTTACAGCAGCCGCAGCAGCAGCGGACGCGTCCAGGTGGCGGTACCCAGGAGCCGTCCAGCGGGCGGTGCTGGGGCAGCACCCTAACCATGCAGTTCCCAGGCCGCGGCCCCTCTTCCCATGCACCTCCCCAGCCTCGGCCCCCACACTTCCACATATTCTAAGAGCCACCACATCGTGTTCTGAGTCAGGTACAGAAGTAACAGCTCTTTTGGTTACACATACCAGAACACCGACTATAAATGGCATTTAATTATGTCACTTAACAAGTAGTTTGTTGATAGCCAGGTCCACATTTAGTGCAGAACCTCAACAAAGTGAACAAGAACCCAGACTCTTCCTATCTTTCTGCCCTGCCTCCCGGCTTACTGGCTTTTAGCCTTAGGCTTGCTGCCCCGTGGATAAAAGATGGCTCTGACGTCCTGCAGCATCACCTCGACGCACAGCTGGGTTCAAGGCGAGAACAGGCCTCCTCGTTTCTCTGAGATGCCCCCAGACACACACATACACACACAGAGACGTCCCCTACGTGTGCTGGCTAGAATGGTGTGACGTGCCAGGCAAACCCTTGTTAGGGAGGCTGAGAATGCGTAGACCTAGCGAAGGATTAGTGCAAGAGTAGTCGCCCTCCTCCCATAGATACGGAAGGGAAATATTGACAGTGGAGATGTGTAACAGAGGAAATGGTCTGAAGAAGTGGATAAAAATATTTTGTCTCTGTAAAACTTTTTCACCCTTTTTGAGAACTAAAACCTGTATTCCTGCTTTAGGCCCGTGGTTGGGGGGGGAACAGGGATGTCCTTTGTTCTTTGTGTTCTGTCCAGGCAGGGTGGAGGTTTGGGTGGAGGTCAGGAGATTGTGACAGATCAAAATCATCC